CCGCCCAAGCAGGAGACCCTACACTATTTCTGACAAATGGCAGTCCAATCTCTTCTTGAAATTCTCAAGTGATGGCACTCCCACAACTTCCAAATGAAAGTTGTTCCATTGGATTGATTGTTCTCACTGTCAGAAAGTTTCTCCTTATTTCCATGTTGAATCTTTCCTTCTTCAGTTTCCATCCATTATTTCTTGTCTGGCCTTCAGGTGCCTTAGAAAATAAGCTTGACCCCTTCCTCTCTGTGGCAGCCCCTCAAATATTGAAATATTGGAAGACCGCTATCATGTCTCCCCTGGTCCTTCTCTTACAAGACTAGCCAAGCCCAGTTCCTGCAACTGTTCATTGTATGTTTTAGCCTCCAGTCCTCTAATCATCCCGGTTGCTCTTTTCTGTACATTTTCTAGAGTCTCAACATCTTACAAGAACAGTACTTCCACAGAAGGAGGCTCAAGTTGATCTGAATCACTTCTCACTCTATTCAATTTGACTATAATTTAACTCTGGTTAAATTATACAATTGTTTGATGTCTATGGAGATTCTCGGTCATCCAGGTCATGGTTGTCCCAAAGGTGCTTTTTCAAGAGGCAACTGGACTTTCTTGTTTTTCCTTGAAGACATTTCGCTTCTCATCCAAGAAGCTTCTTCAGCGCTGACTGGATGGTGGGGAATGGAAAGATTTATAGTCCTTGCAGACAGCTGGTCATTTGCATTCTTTTAGAGAGACTTGGAGGCCACTTGGAGGTTTATCTGTGTCCTCAGGGTCACCTGAGTAGTGCAAATGGACGTGGAGCCTTCTTGGAACTGCTGAAAGAAGGCTCCACACCCATTTGCACTACTCAGGTGACCCTGAGGACACAGATAAACCTCCGAGTGGCCTCAATGACTCTCTGAAAACAATGCAAATGACCAGCTGTCTGCAAGGACTATAAATCTTTCCATTCCCCAGCATCCAGTCAGAGCTGAAAAAGCTTCTTGGGTGAGAAGCAAAACGTCTTCAAAGAATATCAAAAAAGTCTAGTTGCCTGTTGTAAAAAGCACCTTTGGAAGTTATGCATTCTTCATTCATTGGCATTATTTGTATATCCCTTCGCATAAAATGATATGGAACCATCTAGGATCAGCCTTCAAAACAATAATCAAAATGCTCAATGGGCTCATATAAAGCAGAGGTCTGATTCTCACGGCCCGTGGACCAATTGCGGCCCGCAGGACAATATCCTGTGGCCCCCACTCTGATATGAAAGTATAATATTAGTGTATAATATAAATATAAATTATAATATAAAGTATAATATTATGCGGCCCAGCCTCACCCAGCCTCTGCCTCCAGCGGCCCCCAGGTAAATTGTGTTTGAGACCCCTGATATAAAGCATACATTAAAATGGATGGGAGACACTAATTAAACTATTTTTCTGTCCTTTATTACCATTCACTCAGGGAAGACCAAGGAGTTCCAACCAAATAAATCCAAAGGACAGATGCCACCAGAGAGAAGGCCTCTCTGGAAATGATTACAAGATGATAATCATCGTGTCCTGGCAACCCCAGTAAAAGCTCTCAGGTGGCCTTAGGGGATAAGCAAATTTAAAGCAATTACTAGCTAGCCTACTAGGTTTTCTGCTCCCATGTTCCTCGTGGCTTGATGTGCCAATGGCTTTGCATCTCGCCCAGCAGCAAGTTGGAAACCAAGTGTAGGTTCCATCATCATCTTGCAGGGCCAGCTAATCCACTCAGCAATTTGGGTAGAAGGATTCTCCACCTTGTAGCTTCTGAATCAGAAGTCCCCTATAGAAAGTACAGCTAGTCCTCAACTTACGACCATAACTTACGACCAAAATTTATGTTGTTAAGTGAGTTTTGCCCCATTTTACGACTTTTTTTTGGGGGGGACACCTTTGTTAAGCGATTAAATTAGTAACCCGGTTATGAAGGGAATCTCGTTTCCCCGTTTATTTTGCTTGTCAGGAAGTTGCCAAAGAGGATCGCATGACTGCAGGACACTGCAACCGTCATAAGTGTGGAGGCAGTTGCCAAGTGCCTGAATTTTGATCGAATGACCTTGGGGAGGCTACAATGGTCGTGTGTCTCAGAAATAGTGATAAGTCCCTTTTTTTCATTGCCGTTATAACTTCGAACGGGTCACTAAACCAACTGTTGTAAGTTGCAACGACCAAGACTACCAGAATTTGATTGCAAAAAAAAACCCACAGCCCCAGCTGAGAACTAGGGTGGCAGCTGATACATTATAGAAAACTCCTTGCTGCCCTCTAGTGGTTGTCTGGATTTTTTCCTCACTCAGATCTGGAATTCCTGCTGTCATCGAAATGTGAGGTCAGCAATGGATAAAGGTAGTTTAGATTTCCCCATCCTCCAGGGTCCAGTCAAAGTTCACGAAGGGCACTTGTGGTCACAGAGATATCTTGATAAAGACTCTTAAGCGGCTTGGTAAACTCTGTCATCTGGTCCTTAGCAGCATTGAATAACGTTGAAACAAACCAACTGATGCTTCAACAGTCCAAGTCCCCTTTCTGAATTTGGTTTCAGAGTGTGGCTTCACATTCAGCCTCGGTCTGATGCTAATTTGGTTAGGGTTTTCCGCCGCGTTGCACCACGATGTGTCAAAAGAATTTGAATACGGTCCAAATAGCGCTGTCCTAGGCTCCTGGCCCAGAACCTGAATAATTGTCTTCCAAGCCTATCTGCCAGGTATGAGTGGCAGCACATTTGTTCTCTTTTGAAGCAGAAATCCATAAAGGTACCATTTTTCTGAATATTGCTTCTGTTCTGATTAAGAACTATTTCCCACTTTCTGCCTTTGTTCTCATGTGCGTCTACCACCAGTGATTCCAAAATCCCCAAATTGGGTATCTATCTGGATAGAAATCCTAGCAATCCCATTTCATCTGGAAACACCTGGAAAAAAGACCTAAAGCTAGTGTAAATTACACAATGCGTTCATTTCCACCAGTCCTGGTTAACAAACTGTTAGGAAGTTATCAAAGTTTCTGGACCATTTTCACCAACATCTACTCCTGTAACTCAACAATAATTCAGAGTAAAATACAGTTATAGTTTTGACTTCCTTTGGGGGAATATCTAGGCTTAATCTTAGCTAGAATTAATCCATAATCTATTCTGATTAATTTGGATTCTGTGTCTCTGGTTCCATGGACATATTTTCTGTATGAATACATTTAGATTCATTAACTGTGATCAATTTCAATGAATCTGCTGCAAGATTAGATGCAAAACTTGGCCCAGGTTTTCATTATCCATTTGAAGTAAAGCCACCATTTCAAATGGAAAGGTAAGATGATAATAGAGACTAACATTTTGGCAGATTTTTATGTTGTTGTGTGTAGTTTCATAAATGGTTTCAAATAATGGTTGGTGAATGCTTGCTTAAAAACCAGCATTTCTCTGTTTTTTTAAACATATTCACAAACAGTAATAAAATATGTGCACTTTACATTAAAAATATGCCCCAAGATTTGTTATTGCCGTCTATGACTTTTTTCCCCTTGAATTCTAGCTTTTATAAACCTTTGAAGGTCCACTCCTTCAAAAGATTGCATTCTTTCCCCTCTCTGGTTAGATCTGGTCTGCAATTCTGAATTTCCATCAGATGATAGCAAACACCTATAGAAGGGGATATTTGTAGGTCAGGGTTAAACTGTGGGGTCCTTGGTGCTCTCTGAGCTTAGTGGTTTTCTTGCAGACGTTTCATGACCCAACTAGGGAACATCTTCAGTGCTAGAAGGGAGGGTTTGCTCTCTGATTATATCCAGTAGCTTGCCCTGTCCATTTTGGTGGAGGTAACTCCTTGGTAGTTTCTTGATTGTTCGTGTTGTTTACTGGGATTGTTCATCTGAGCTGGTAGTTCCTTGATTAGAGTACTGTTGGTATTGTTTGTTTGTCAGGTGTTAATCTTGGTGTTAATCTCTGCTTATTTGGTTGTTGATTGTTGGCCAGAGGTGCTCTGGTCCTTTTATTTCCATTTAGCTTTTCCACTGCTGTTCTGAATCAAGTCTAAAGGTTATTTATCTTTATGTGCCTGTTGGTGACTGATTTGTTGGGAGTGCCAGGCTTCCAGATATTCTCTAGCACTTTTGGATTTAACTTGCTCTGGGATGCTCACAGTTTACCAGTTGAAACTATGGTTAAATCCGACCACGTGTAGCCATGCATTATCTGGCCACAGCAAAGAACTAGAGATTTCCATTTCTCTTAGCCATCATCTAGCGTTTGTCCAGATTTCGTAGCCCAGATACGGTATTGCTACTGGCAATCTGTATGATATCACCTCTCTTCCTGTCTTCATAGTTTTGTTCTAAGAATCTTCTTTTCCTATGAACAAACCAATCTACTGATTGTGTAGGTGTAGATACACAAAATAACACGATTTTCCTGTGGATAAGGGGAACAAACCTCCTGTGTCAAGCAAAGGACTGGGCTAGTTGAGCCAGCCTTGGGGTTAAGACTGGGTTAAGGTAGAACTTTCTCTACCCCAGAGATTTTGTGATTCTATGTTTTTTGCCCTCAAGGCCTTCTCCCCATGGAAATACGGTCTGTTGAACTGATAAGAACATCCCTTGCCAAACTATATTTCTGTCTTAAGAGCTTCAGGGCCCTGAACTTAACGATTGGGTGGCTTCTCTGCTGAGAAGTAATTGAAATGAATTGTAAGAAAAACAACACTGGAACACATGTCAACTCTTTCATGCCCCATTGATTTCAGCAGGAGCACTGAAGCTTGTCATTAACCAACCCAATATCCAAACACGAAAGAAAGAAAGAAAGAAAGAAGAAAGAAAGAAAGAAAGAAAGAAAGAAAGAAAGAAAGAAAGA